ATTAGAATACGTACGCGGCATATTGCAAAAGACAAAATTCATCTACTGTTAAAGGCTTTCAAAGAGCGACTGACAAATTCATAACAGAAAGTGGAAAATGTAATCAAATATGTCGGTGCTAGATATGGCAAGAAATGTAAACATTTTTTTTCGATTTCTCTGAAACGGAGCAAAAACGAGCATATGTCTATAGGACTTTTTTTCTTAGTTTTTTACTCCTCTACACGCTCCCGAAGTTTTGCCATTTAATTTGGAAACACCCTGTATATGGGAATTATACCTATACAATTATGTTTTAAAAATGTGCTGTGTCACGTACGCAATACTCAAAATTATCAATGCAGTACTGCATTGTGTGCGTATTAGTTTGTTACATTGAACATATGTATTTTTGGCCACGAGACGAGGGAAGTGGGTGGCATTATCACAAATAATAGGCTTCGTATATATACATGCCATCTAATAGCATATACGGGCTCATATTCAACCGTTGTTTCGCCGCATGTCAGCTCGCAGTTTCGATTGCGTGTGTAAAGTGCGAGAGGAGGGTTCGGTACAACTGTACTTGTCCCATTCGACACTCTCACGCGCCACGTTACTTTCTTTGACAAAAAACTGTCTGCATGAACGAATTTTTATTTCTTTTCTTTTGCTTGCATATCACTTTTTTCGGAAACTCGAACCACTTGCAAGTGTGTCTGGTCGAGTGTCTGGTCGCCTAATCACTTCGCGATAAGCAAACTAATGCTAAAAAATACAATATTCTAAATATATTTTGCCGAGTGTTTCGTAACGTGAGAGAGAGAGAGAGAGAGAACTAAATAAAGCGATGTCGTTCATTAAGATCCCCGTTCAAAGAAGATGCGATTTATAAAACTCTATTTGCTGAACATCTAAGGAGTCGTCAACAGTACGACTGCCTTTGTCGCAGATCGTTATATCAACAGCATTAACATACAAAGCGATTATTAAGACGATGTGGCCGATTGTTGCGGCTCAAAGGTCATGGTTACTCCAGGACGCAAACTGCTGCAAAGATATTAGGTAGGGGAACGCACGTGCTCGTGTTCATGATACCGAAGATCCTGAATGTTACTCTCCAAAATAGACAAAAAAATCCCACGTCGAGTGGGCGCGCACGATTTTACGGGACAGAAAGGTTGCCAGGTAAAAAATGTCAGACTTCGTTGGTTGCAGCCTTTCCGTACCATTTTTGTTTATTATTACGTCGTTAAGTACTTAACTACAAAAGTAGTTAAATACAAAAGTATTAGGTCCCTTGATAGTTGAAAAACAAGGATATTAAGTTTAAGTACTTTGTTTCGATCTAAGTGAGAAAGTTGACAGCAAGTCAATAAAGTAGAATTTGGATAAGGTAAACTTTTTGCTTATTACTAGAAGCATAAGAAATCGGTTGTGACATAGATCGAAATAGACTTAGGCGAGTTGGACAATAATTTTATTTTTAATCCGTGTCTTTGCTAATTTCTTATTCTATCCTCAAGTAAAAGATTTACTTTTACTCATTTCTCTCTATCTCTCTCTCTCTTTCGAAAAAATCTCTATCTCATCTCTACATCTGTGAATATCTACGTTTACTGATGCTTAAGTATCTTTTGCCTGTATTTAGATGTATAGTTTACTTTAGATATTAAAAATAAATATTTCCTGCATCATTGTCTTCATTCTATATCTATCGGTATAATCTCATTGGTGCAATTTATAATTTCAAGAAATTTTTTGTTATATTCAAGATAACGATTCTATACCACGCGTGTTTGAACGTAACGTGCGTGAGTCAAGCTCTATAATAATGATAAATACATAATCGCATATTTCATCAGTGTAGATCGGTGTAGATAAAAAAAGGAATCCGTCATATTTTCAAACACATATATGTTGCGCATACATTTGTTGTGCTATGATAGAAAATCAAGTCGAGACTCTTATGTTAATTAGTGAGTACTTCTCTGCTGAAATAGTCGTTGCTTTATTCTCTAAAAATGTGTCGCTTGTGACGAGCGATGTATCCATTGCGGCGTAACTCGGTGACGAGTTATATCATTCCCCTTAATGTTTGTGATGTCATATGCTATGAATGCCGCTGACTCTTCGGTTTAAAAAACGTATCATTTCTCGCTTTTTCGAATCTCAGAATTCTCAGAAATTGACATTATACATAGAAAACCGATCTAAAACATTATAATCAGTAACTAGATATAATGATGTAAGCTAAGACGGCAATATTTTCTTATAAAAGTAATAAGTTCTTTATTAATAATTTTTTATAATAAAAATAGAAATCCTATATAATTATTATAAAGTATAAAGATAATATTAATGAACAAATTAGAATTACTTAAGATGCATAGCAAAATGAAATTTTATGTACGACTTATCGCTATGATTAATACGCAATATTGAGATGCATAGCTTTCTGAACGATAAATAGTATAATCGATAGCGTATGCAGTAAGATTCCGCAGTCTTCAACGGCAGTTCATCGTACCTTTTACACGAGAATTCCACTGATTCGTGTTACGATGTGCTGTCCGGCAACCAACATTTAGCTACTCTCTGTGTATAATACCTACACGTTCTGGGTTCTGGGATTACGTCATAATTTTATCGTGGACCTTCACCAACGAACCTTGAACAATGTCTCGAGGCCATAGCTAACCGATCTCGAAGAGAGATCCGAGAGCACATATATTTTTCTCCGTTGTAAATAAAAATACGTTTCCGTCGAATTAGGTTCACAGTTGAGTCATGTTAGATAGCGAATTGATTAATTGACCGAGGCGCAACGACTGGTACAGCTACAAGATTGGTGGTCGCGACATTGCGTGTCTCTTGCCCATGTAAATCAAGGCTGTCGGTTTATCGCGAATATCTCGTTCGTGAAGCGATCGTACAAATAATTTCAAAAAATTCGCGAACCTAAAAATTTGTCAAATTTGCATGTTACAAGTGACAAGGAAGAAAGCCTCTTTGTAAACTATATTTTATATAATCAAACAAGATATACTCTTCTATATAGCTGTCCTATTTTTTTATCTTTAAATTTAGATCTAAGGTTCTCGCGCGCCATAGAACCCGTCTCATTGAAATTGAAAGAACCGCGGGGAATTCACTCTGCGGGGGATCCAATCGGATTATAATATAAAATGGCACCGTCGGTTTGCCGGTTAAATTTGAAACTGTATCTATCCTTCAGGACGTGCGCAGACAAAAAGACATGAAGG